TTGTCTTTAAACATATGAAAGAAATTTTTTAAAGGACTGGACCTGTATATCCTTATTTTTTTTTCTTAAAATTCAAAAGTAGTCTGGGTCTTTATTATTTGAGAATAATAAGAACAAAAGGAAACATGTGAGATGGAATAATCAAAATATTTAAGAGGAACATATTTGTAAGCAGAGATTTTCTCTGTATAGTGGGCTTACAGTAATTTTTTTTTCTCTTGAATAAATGTACATAATAGTTCTTCAATTTTTGAACTGTTTAATCGTTTGTTTTTCCTCTCAGCTCTGGCTATGTACTGAGTGCCCAACATGACTTTCCATTCCCATTCGCCAAATCATGCTTCTTTATAGGTAGTATGGGGAGGGGAAAATGGAAAGAATTAAAAAGACTTAAACAAAAAATTAGTAAAAAGTGCTTTAACATTCTGCATTATGTTAAAAATGTTTCAGGGACGTAACTCCTAAATAGCAGGTAAAGAGCTCTAAGTGCTTTTTCTTGGACTGAAATAGCTGTCCAGGGGAAATGTCACATTCCAAGACTCGACTTCTCATTCATCTTAAGAAAAGAAGTTGCCATGTGGCGCCATCACCCACCATTTGCTTTGAATGGGACTAAAACCACTTTGCTTTAATAACAGAACTGGTATTTCTTGGCACAGCTTAATGTCTTAAATAATAAAGAAGGATTGAAAAAATCAACAATAAGATTTTATAATTTAAGAGATCTCCTTATTTATAGTAACATAGCCCTTGCTAATACCCAACTAGGATTTAAAGCTGAAAGTAAAGAAGTTGAAGACACTGGCTCTCATGTGCTGCCAGTAATGTACCACTGGTGTTGATTTTTTATCCTCTGATCCCTACATTCTGTGTGTCTTCCTTAGACTATCTACCTCCTCCTGTCTCTGCCTCTCTATCTCCACTTCTGTCGTAGCAAATCTGATTAAAATAAATGCAAAGTTCCTATTTGAAAAAAATGTCCTCGCTGAAAAGACATTTCTGAAATATTATTCATCTAACTTGTCAATTCTAATCATAAAAACACAGTACAAAAAGACTCATTTCAATTAAAAAAGCATTTACCGCAAGCCTACAGGATATGAGGCACTGTAATAGCAGAGATGATATTTTACACTCAAGGAATTTACAAATATATGGGAAAA